GCCCAAATATAGCAAAATAATCACAAACCTAAAGGCTTTCAACAAGTACAACACCTCACATCTATGAGTTTATATGTCAGGATAAGTAATTTCAAATTATAAAGGGAAACTAGAGGAGTTCTTTGAAAATACAGACATTTGCTATGTCCTCTGTAGTTGTGATTTTATGTTGCCCTTGGACATTTTGACCTCCGTACCTCCAGTTCTATTTCCATTTTCCATTCAAATGTTACTTTCTTTTACTCCTCACAACAGCCTTGGGAAATAGGCTTTTATTTATTAGCAGTTTTCTTAGTAAATAAATGCACAGATGCTAAATACCTTGGCCAGCATAATCAACCTTGCAATCAACAGAGCGGACACCAGTATTCAGATCTGTCTCACCCATATTATCATTTCCATACCTGTGGTTCTCAGCCTGGTAATGCACCAGAATTGGCCTTCTAAAGCCACTGATACCCAAGCTCTACCCCAGACTAAATAACTGGTTAGAATCCTTGGGAGATAGGACCCAGGCTCAGTATACTTCCAGTTGTCTCCATAAAAGAACCGCAGCATTACCCAAGCAACAGAAGTGGATTAGAAAGAAGGATGGTAGATATGGTCAATATAAAATCGCAAAGTCAAGTTTTAATGGCATATTTTTTCACCCCATAGACACCCACACTTCCCTACTCCCCAATCAGTACACACCAAGAAAAGTTACTTGATTTTAATATTTTAATTATTATTAATTTTAATATTTGCCTACATGAAGTGTATTGGGAACATATATCCTAACACCCACCAAAATGTATAAGACAACTAGTCTAGTTAAAACACCCTCTAGATGATTTACAATTTGTTACCCTCTTAACTGCTATCTCCTTTTGTTACTTGTTATTCCTTTCTGCTTCTCTAACCTTCCAAGAAAGTTTTTTCTACTCCTTAAAGAATTAGTAAAGGTTTACTGACAATGAATGCTCTGCTTTTACTTACCTGAAAATGCATTTACTTCTCAAATTCTTGAAGGATATTTTTGCTAGATACAGAATATCAAGTGATCATTTCCTTTCATAGCATTAATGATAAACTGTCTTCTATCTTCCTTTGCTATAAAAAGTCAGCTAACCTGCTTAACAATTGCTCCTTTGTTTTCTCTGGCTGTCCTTCAATTTTTCTTACTGTTTTTGGTTTTCTGTAATTTTTTCATGATGTGTCTAGAAGTGGATTTCTTTCTATATACCTGCTTAGGATTAAGTGTACTTTGAATCTGAAGAACTATATTGATTAGTTTTATAGGCTGAATATATTCAGTTCTTTTAAAAAAAGTGTATTATAAAATATAACAAATATATAGACAGGTTCACAAAACAAAAATAGATAGCCCAATTAATAATCACAAAACTAACATCTCTGAAAGGGTTGGAGAACACATACAAAGCTAAATTAACAGCATGTTCTATCCTGCAGAGCTGTAATGTAACGCCCCAAGGTACCTTTACCCTTGGTCTTTTCTGCTATATGAACCAATAAATTCTCTTATTACTTGAGCCATTTTGGTTACATTTTCTGTCACTTGAATGCTATCAGGTTCTAACTGCTATAATTCATTATGTGATTTCCCTTCCTCAAGTATTTCTCCTTCAAATGAATTTTGTTACTACCTTTCTTTTCTATTCTGTATCAGTTATATTCTGCCTTATATCATAATTATCTATAGCCAGATTTCCTCCACAAACTAGACTGTGCTTGACATGAGAGGTATTCAATAAACATGTGTAGAAGAAACCATGACTACATCAATCTATCATTCATCATTGTATCCCTACAACCTAGGACAAAGGCATACATATTATACAGATTCAATACATGTTTGTAGAAGGAATTAACTAACAAGCAAATGGGAATGATATCACAAACTACCAGACTTAGGACATACACACAAATGAGATCTTAAAATAACCCTTTCCAGAGGCTAGAGTGATCCCTGTGGTACTGGATTAGAGTTGAAGACATCAGTATAACCTCATGCTTTCCTAAATATAGATACACATGGTTAATATATACAAATATATATACATATGTGTATTTCCTGAGAGGACCTAAGAGGCCTGACACCTCAGTTGTAACAAGCACACTTATTTGGCACTCAGGTCTTGGTTTCTAATACCTTTTGCCTATTAAATAAAAAGAACCAAGGCTTCTTGGAGAAATGGCTGATTCTGGAACTGGAGCAGGAAATATACCAGATGAGCCTAGAGCATCTTATAGTGCCGTAAAGTAAAAAACTGCTCTAAAAACAAACAAAAAAACTGCCATGATGGAAGCATAGCAAAGGAATATAGGACTGAAGAGCTTCCAAAGGCCAAAGTTGAAAACATTTGAGCAATAAATTAAATAATTTAGTATTGGATAGTAACCCAAGGTATAAAATAAGTATCTTTAAGTCCATACTGACATAAATAAATGGTTGAATAAATAAATAATGGGAGAGAACATACATATCTTCCATACAGAAGAGTTCCAAATAATTTATGTAGATACTTTGCCCTCAAAAAAGCAGAGTATACAATGAAATAAGTCAGGCAGAGAGAGACAAATACCAAATGATTTCTCTCATTTGTGGAGTATAACAACGAAGCAAAACTGGAGGAACAAAATAGCAGCAGACTCACAGACTCCAAGAAGGGACTAGCAGTTACCAAAGGGGAGTAGTGGGAGAGGGCAGGTGGGGAGGGAGGGAGAAGGGGATTGAGGGGTATCATGATTAGTTCACTTGGTGTGGGGGTCACAGGGAAGACAGTGTAGTTCAGAGAAGACAAACAGGGACTCTGTGGCATCTTACTAGACAGTGACTGCAATGGGGTAGTGAGTAGGGGGACACGGTAATAAGGGTGGATATAATAACCACATTGTTTTTCTTGTGAAACCTTCATAAGAGTGTATATCAATTATACCTTAAAAAAAAAAAAAGGGCAGAGAATAACTTCCCAGTCCTTAGGTATGGACTGCACATAGTGACTCCCTTCCAAAGAGGACAGTATGGAAAGGGGAAAAAGAGTAACTGTATAGTACAGAAACCTGATAAACACTCCCTCCAGCCAACTGATCAAGGTTAATATCAATAGTGATAAGTTATATTGATAATATGCATATACCCTTTATATGATTATGATGAAAAATGGTACTTTATACCTCTGAGTTCTTCCTACCAAAAGCCTGTAACAGCAGTCTAACCATAAGGAAAACACTAGGCAAATCCCAATTTAGCAACATTCTATATAATAACTGCTTAGTACTCCTCAAAAGTGTGTGGGTCATCAAAAACAAGGAAAGTCTGAGAAACTGTCGCAACCCACAGGAGCCTAAACAGACATGTGTAGGACCTAAATGTGTTGTGTCTTGGATGGGATCCTGGATGAAAAAAAAAAAAGGATGTTAGGGAGAAACTAAGGAAATCCAAATAAGGTATGGACTTATGGACTTCAGTTAATAATAATATATCAATATTAGCTCACTAATAATTACAGATGTATCACAGTAATATAAGATGTTAACAATGGGGGAAACAAAGTGGGCTATGCAGGAATTTTTTACTATCTTTGCAATAATTCTGTAACTCTAAAGCTGAAAGCTCTGAAAGTTGTAAGTTTAAAAGTTTATTAAGAAATAATCCTTCACTTGTAAGGCCCTATATATCAAAAGCATACAAAATAAGCTAGTTTGGAACAAGGGGAGAATTGAAATACTAAATTGAGAGATTCTGTGGGAATATAATCAACAGTCAACTGCACATTTTTCTTTAAAAACTTACAATGAAAATTCGACATTTCTGAAAAACTAATGTATACACATGAAGTTCATAACTATTTCCTGAAGTCTACTTAACAGCAGGTAGCTAAAAGTAGAGGTATCAAAAATTTCTGGAATCCTCAATACCATAGGGGGAAAAAATACTACCTTCAGATCACGAACATCTCCAAAAAAAGCTTTAATTCTCTGGCAAACCAAATTTTGAAAAAACAAAAACAAAAACAGAACCTAAAGTTGCAGTAGTTTCTTAACATAACGGTGTAAACTACTAATAAACAATCTTTAGCTTTGTGTTCTAAACCCGTTATAATTTTGTCTCAATCTACCTCTGTAACTGTACTTTCTATCTGCCTATGTAAACTCTTCTCTAAGAAAACTGATTTGCTCAGTGCTTCCAATGTGTCATCCTTGGTTTGTGAGGCTTCTCTGGAGCTTTGTCTCCCTGCCTGTAGTGCCAACCCCTTTGTTCATTTTCTAAATCCTACCCTTTTTTTAGACCCAGTTAAACCCTTCCTCCACCAGAAAGCCTCAGATCACCACAGGCTCATAATCACTACTTCACCAGTGCTTAATGTAGTAATCAGTATATTCATTCATTTAAAAAAACACACCACTTTGTGTGTACTTACTAAGTACCTATATACCACAAATAAGAAGTGTTAAGGGAATTAAAGATAAGTAAGATATGGTCTCTGTTTTCAAGGTGCTCTCAGAATGGTAGAGAAGACAAAACTGTAAACAAACAATTAGGGATAATGTGCTATGATAACACGCTGCAATTTCCTACAATACTTCTCTTTTTAAATTTAGGTCCTGTTTCTTCAATTAAACCAAAGTCCTCTTGAAAGGTAGAGTTCTTCATATCCTCAGTGCTTTGCGTATGTTAGTAAAAAACAATTTTGATGTTGTTTTACTAAAATTTCATTTCAGCCTTATTTTCTTAAGAGAAATGTGGGTAGAATCCCTGTTTATAGACATTAGATTTTCAGTGATGAATTAATAGACTTTTTCATAAGTTACAAACCATAACCAACTATTAGTTATTAAGAATTCACAAATTACCACTTCACTTACTTAACTGCCTTAAGTGGGGCTCTGTTTTCTATGAGAAACAAATTTAAAAATAAAGAAAAGGCATTGATTTGAGCTACACATCTTTTATTTCCCTGGTACTCATCATCAGGCACAAATCAGAAGAACAGAAGCCAATTGTATTGTGTTTTATTTTTCTGAAACTCCAACCTGTAACAGTTTTATTTTCCCAATACATAGTCAGTTTTACAATAATTCTACCAACGCTATTAAAAACAATACAATAACTGAAAATAATTTAAAATCTTATGTTTATATTATTTTTATTTTATTTTGTGCTGTTCTTTTTCTTCTTAGGTCATCTCTCTTTAGGGATATACTATCTACTGGTTTGTTTGTTTTTTCTGATTTGAAATCCTTAACCTATTTTATAGAATTCTTTTTTAATTGAGATACATATAATAAATCTTAGTGTACAGCTCAGTGAATTCTGACATGGTATACACTCAGGTAACCATCACCCAGATCAAGATATTAAACATGCTCATTAATTTTTTCCCTTTCACCTATTTTACTCATCCCTCCACCCTAGGGTGATGGTTATATATGTATACACATGTCAAAACTCATTAAGCTGTACACTAAGAAGCCAATTTTAAAAGATGTTACAGATAAATTTGCAATGTCATAGGAGAAATGCTTATGATAATATATAAAATAAATATATATATATATTGAAAACTGTAGAGGACATAAGTGCCTATGACAAAAAGAAAAACACTGGGAATAAATATACTAACATGTTAATAATACTCATCTCTTCATTGTGTGGGATTATAGACTTGTTTTTCTTGGTACTTATCTGTATTTTACGTTATTAATAATAAAGTTACATTATCATAATTTAAAAACCCAACTCTTTCAGGAGAATGCTAGAGAGGATAAGAGGTGATAAAAAGAGGATGACAAAGAGAGACAACCAACCAAAGACAATGAATAATCTGCAAAATTGATCATTAAATAACATCCCAAGCAGATTCCTGAGCTGAAATGCTTCATTCTCAACTCAGTACCTCATTTTTCCAAAAGCATTTTTACAAATTCAATCAAGTAAATCAAAACTGGCAACATTTGCTGTTGTATTTGCCATTGGATTTCAAAAAATAACTTGATTTGCCTTTTTTTCATTTGTCTTATGAGAGTGAACATTTTAAATTTGCCTTGTTTGTACTTTCAAGATGTTCTGTTTTTCTACAATTACGCTTTTAAAGCCTTGTTTATAACACATGCCTTCAAATCCTATGTGTGTATATTAGTACTCTTCTCCTTTATCCACAATCGGTTATCATAGCAACACCTTTGAAAAAACAGATGAAAATCATGAATCATCATTTTTAAAACAGAAGCCTTACACTGTCTCCCCTTAGGAAGTACATTTTATAAAGAATGACTTCAACATTCTTCCTACCTTATAAGTGTTTCATAGCTGATAAGTAAACAGATAATGAGGCAGTACAATTAGAGTTTTTAATTCATCAGCACATACACTAATTCTGTAACAAAATTTTTAGTATTTTCTCATAATCACTTGGATCATACACTGATGCAATCTCTGAATACCAGCTGCTTCACTCAAAAAACCAGAGATGCCACCTCTAAATTCGCCCTTATTTCTACCTTAGGAAATATAGTGGAATTTAAAATCTATGTTTTCATAAAAGAAGTTGTTTTGAACATTTTATTAATGTTATAGAACATTTTTATTAACATTTTTATTAATTTTAATTATTTTTATTAATCCTGTATTCTTGCCAACAAGATGAGTGGTATTTTCAGGTCCACAAAAGTTTCTGTATCTTTGCTTAGAAAGGAAAGGGTAAAATTCTATGTTCACAAAATGTAAGACAACTAACTTCTTTTACCTCAGGGACATTTGCAAATTCCAGGCACATGAGGAAGGCTGAAAATCCAGACTTTGCACAGTCACAAAGCTGCTGCTAGAATCAGAAAAATCATTAGAACCTCTGGCAGAGTCTTGGGAGACCTCAAACATGTAGTCAGGTCCCTTCAAAACATCTGATGTATTCTGGGGCAGCCCAGGGAAAAGAAACTAAAACTAAGAAACTACCTCTGAACAACAAAGTGGGGCTGTCAGCATTCCGACATGACAAAATTTAGGGTCTGGGATCCCTTGGACAAAATCCATGCTGTTGGGTATTTCAATATTTGATAAATGGCATGACATAGTATTTTAAAATATTTTATAGGCCAAGGTACATAGAAGTGTCTAGCAACACTGTCCAGCTCCAGACTCTCAGATAGAAACCCTAAAGAGCTCTGCCTTAGGAACAGTAATAAACCAGAGATAAAAAGGCCCGTATCAGAGACATACACCAGCCTCAACGCAGCACAGTCCCCATCTGGATTAAGGTGACCAATCAACATCTATTTGCCTATGAGAGGGAATAATGAACCCTTTCTCTGGAAGATGGCATCATCTGGAGTCTCTACAGTTTTTCAACTGGAATGTCTGACATCCACTCAAAACTAGTAGAAACACCAAATACAGAACAACATGATTGATAACCAAAGAAAAAAGCTAAAGTAAATAGTCCCAAGGATATTCCAGATATGAGAATTGGTTCATAAGGGCTTGAAAATAAATATGATTAGACTGTGCATGAAAATGGAGATAACTATAGATGAAAAGATAAATCTTTATGTAAAAGAATCAAATAGAACTGTAGAACTACAGAATGTATCACCTAAAATTAAGAACATATTGCATGGGTTTAACAGCCTATTAGACACAATAAAAGTCTATAAACCAGAAGGTAAGTCTGGCATTATCGAATTGAGCTAGTTATCCACATACTGCCTCTGCTCCACAATCTACTCTTCTCTGTCCTATAAACATTCTTCCTTTGCCAGGTGGTGTAAGATTTAGCTTGTCAATACAAAGTGGTGTAGGGACAGTCCAAGGCATCACAGAGGGAGGAGCTTCTTATCCTGGTTCTCATGTACTTTTCACAGCTGCTCCCATGGCCAGCTGCCAGAAGTATGCAGAAGGTCCTGAAGTGCTCGTCCTTCAGCCTGTTTAACTGCACCCTGCATCCCCGCCCCCACCATTTCTACCCACCAGCCCTGGCCCACCAGCACCAACTAGCCACACACCACTTCTGGCCTTCAGTATCCCCAACTAAAGGTCCCCGTCATCCAGTGGGCTGCTGCCACATCCTCTCCAACAAAGAAGTCAGTCTCAGCCTCACGAGGTGGGAGGGAGACATAGGAAGTGTTCCAAGGTTGATCCTCCTTGGCTACTCTCCGCACCAGAGTTGCTGCTCTTTACAACTGCTATTCCTGCATTAACAGTCCTTTAAGTAGTTAATAATTCAGAATATTCAATTTTCCCTATTCGAAGTACCGGTACGGTTTCTGTCTCCTGACTAAACACCAACTGATAAATAGGTTAAGTTTCATTTTAAGTGCACTTTGCACTTTCAAAATGTTCTGTTTTTCTACAACTGTGCTTTTAAAGCCCTGTTTAAAACACAACTTCAAAATTATATGTGTATACACATATGTATGTATACTATTTGTCTACTTAGCCCTAAGTTACAATTTCTGTAACATGTGGCCCAGCAAGTCTACCTTCAGTATATACCCATTTGAAATACACACATATATTCAAGGAGACACATATGAGAAAAGTCATAGTAGCACTATTTACATCAGCAAAAAACTGAAAATAGTCCAAATGTTAATCAAAAGTAGAATGGGTAAATCAACTGTGGTATGTTTATACAATGGAATACTATGAGCAATAAGCATATACAATAACCACAAACTATATGGGTGAAGCTCACAAAAAAATGTTGAGTGAAAGAAGTCAAACACAAGCACATGCTATTTGATTCCATTTGTAGAAAGATCAAAAAGAGGCAAAATTAACAGTGGTGATATAATCAACCTATTGTTTACTCTTGGACAAGGTGGTCCCAGGGCTGGGAGGGGGCATGAGTGGAGCTGCTGTAAACTGGAAACACTGTTTCCTGATCTAGGTCAGAAATTCACACTATAATACACTTGTGATTCGGCTGTATGTACATGATACTTTAATATAAGTTAAATACAAATGTAGAGTATATATTTATAAACAACCAAGTAATATGTTTGTAAGTCCCTAACACTTAGCATACATGATTCTGGTAAACTGCTCTTCTATGTCCCCACTGTGCTCTGTGCATATACCTCTATTTCTACATGTGTCACTTGAGGCTTCAATTCTGTTCACTTAATCTGTTTGGAGAACTGTGTCCAGTTAGAGGGCTAAAGATGAGGCTTTTATAGGTTTCAAATGAGACATTTAAATAGATAACTTGAAAAATGATAAAACATTCTATTCTAAAATATGTTGGGAGGCCTTGGCACATGGAAGTGTCAAAGAATAGGAGCACCACACATCTGGACGACATTTTTCAACGAGGGCCATGCAGTCCATCTCAGCTTAGTGCAATCTCCATATATATTTCATGTACATGGGGGATGGGCACTATTTTGCAAGGACCCATTCAAAAGATGTCTTTCTGTAGGCAGCACAGTGAACAGCAAGGGAGAAGTGACAAGGCATTATTAGTACAATACTTCTTTCTAGTATGTTCTGCATGAACATGTAGAATTCCTGTGAAGGAATTATACAACCAGTGGGTAGTACCTGCAGGAGCAGTAGGTTCCCTACCCTGGAGATGCTTGTCCCAAACACAAAAGCAAAATCACCATTACCTTCTTCAAAGGAGGAAGTCAGATAGGCGTGGTTTCCAATCTTGCTCTAACGGCAACATGTTCGCCTTTAAATCTATGATCCACCCTTCCTCCTTTATGCAATTTTATTTTAAATTAAAGTGAATTATCATTATTACTTTTGGGGGAAGAATTTCACAATACCCTTTGAGGTAGCCAAATATACCACAGGGTGTTGCAAAACCATGGCTGAAAATCACTGTTTCACAGATTCTGTTAACTGTTTGTTATCCCCCAATTTCTCTAAAATGTTATCTTTTTCTTCTATTTTGAATTTTTCAACCTAAAACATTATTTTCTAGTCTTGGAAATAAACAAGTCCCTTAAAGAATACAGAGCCTTCAAGGAAACCTCTTCATCTAACCAACATGTCTTGGGCACCTCTATGCACTGAGCAGTCTTCCAGGTACTAGAGTGAACAAAACAAATTCCATTCTCTCACAAAGCTTCCATTCCAGTGAAGAAACAAGGGTGACCCTCTTTCCCAGTCTGCCTGGGACTGTCATGTTTTAGCACTGAAGGTACTACATCCCAGGAAACCCCTCAGCCCCAGGCAAAACAGGGCAGTGGGTCACCCTAGCAGAGAGATACCAAACAAACAAGCAACCAAAAACTTATCAAATGGTGATAAGTGCAAGGAAGAAAATAAAGCATGATAAAGATAAGAAAGTAACAGGGAAGGTATTACTACCATTTTGTATAGGGATCATTAGGGGAGGCCTCTCTGATGCAATGACATCTGAAGGCAGGAGGGAGCGAGCCATTCCGATAAATGGGCAGAGAGAGTTCCAGGCAAAAGGAATGAAAATGGTAAATAGCAAATAAAAAGGTCCTAAGGTGGGAGTGTGCTTAGAATGTCTGAGGAATAGCAAGCAGGCCTCAGACTGTGGCTGGAGAGTGAGCAAGAACAGAATGGAAGGAGAGGAGGTTTGAGAAGCAGTTTGAGTAATGCCAGAGCATAACAGCTATGGCATGTCCGTCACCTAGGGTCCAGCACAAGTCCCAATTTCTTCCTGATGATTTCAATCCTGCAGTTCCAACCTATAGCAATTTTCCTTTTACAATATGATGGAGCATCTATCACTTGGCTGATTATCCTCTCACGTTATTTGTGTGAAAACTCTGTGTATCTATCCCATAGCTCCTTTGTATCAATTACTAACATTTAATTACATACTATGTCTATTTGTTTTCACGTATCTACATCTCCCTAAAATTTAGCCTCCTTGAGGTCAAGTTCCATATTGTACAGTGTTGGGGACACAGTACACAATCAATAAATTACCCACAGATAGGATTTTCCTCAATTTGTCTTTTGTTGATTTTTATGCTTTTTCATTAGTAAAGGAGGACTGGTGTATAAGCACCATATCCATTATATGACACATGAAACAGTATGGCAAACACATAGAATAGAATACAGTTAAAGTACAGAAACCAACATATTAACTTACACTGCAGGGATGGCTCTTTAATTAGCAAACACTTAGGACTTGAGGCTCAGAGCAAAAATGCAAACAAACAAAATGTTCTACAAATAATAACCACTGAAATTAATTATCAGCTCTTCTAAGTATCACTGAAAACTACTTCTGGACACAGATTATATTCATGACTACCACGTTACTATATAAAAACTTTCCATAACTACCACCAAACCAAATTAACTGCTCCCTCTGCTATGTGCAATCTTGTGTTTATGTGATCTTTTCATACTTTTCATAGAAAGTAAATTAAAAAAGCTTCAATTCTGTCTCCCTAACTAGCCAGGAAAACATCTTGAGCAGAACTCAGGCTTTATCTCCACTCTCTAGGCCCTAGGTCATAACACTCAATTAATGTTGACTTAAATGGCTTGGTGAATGAATTATTAACATACATAATGCAGAGCAATGAGGCAAATTTTTAACAAATCTACTCAAATTTATGACTATTCACCTTAAATGTAGCTCCCAGAAATACTATAAGCTTATTTCAAGTTCTATAGGCTTTTTGCTTCCATCTCTATCTTAGGAAATGCTTTAAATACAGTTTATAAGATCAAAGGAAAAGCAATGTCCCTATTTTATAATCATATCTCAATATCAAAATATGTAATCATCCAGCTTCCACAATAAATTAATTTACCTCAAAAAAAAGCAGAAAAAGATAATGAACATAAATAAGTCTATAAAGAGATTTTTGCTGAGTAGAA